TATTACATTTGCGGTTAGTATTACATTTAGAGTTAATTTTTATTACATTTACGGTTGGTATTACATTTAGCGTTGTTATTACATTTAGCGGTGATACAAGAGAATAACTATAATAATATTAGTTTGGGACCACGTGAAGTGTAAGCAATTCCGTGATAGCGTAAGTCCACAATTGCGGCAGTTGTTTTCCTACATCTCTTTGTAGTTTCGGCCGGGCATGTAGCTTCCGTCCGTAATAGCGGGGTGTCCGTAATAGCGGGGTGTCCGTAATAGCGGGGTGTCCGTAATAGCGGGGTGTCCGTAATAGCGGGGTGTCCGTAATAGCGGGGTGTCGTAATAGCAGGATGTCCGTAATAGCGGGGTGTCCGCTATTGCAGGGTGTTGTAATAGCGGGATTTCCGTAATAGCAGGGTGTCCGTAATCCGGGGGTTTCTGCAAGGCGAGAGTTGACTGTATTTTTGTTTTTGTTTTGTTCAGAATCAGCTATTGCAAGCTCAGAGAAATCAGGAACTTATCGAGGAAGAGGAGTATTACGAGTTTGTAAGTACTAAAGACGTAAATGTTTTTCAGGGAAGCGGGGCGGGGCGGCATTTATTATTTGATGAGGTGTGAGAGACGAGTAGAATGAGACAATCGGAATGTGGCGCAGCGAGGGTCATCATTTTGATTTTAGTTTTGACAGTTGTTGTGTTGTTATTACAGGTAAAGGAAAATCATCGCCAGGAGGAGAAGGCTTTCAAGGATTTTTGTGATTTTGTGGACAGAACATCTGATTACACAGTTCTCACGGTGAGCCCTTGTTATTATAATGGATGCTGTACAGCTTGCGCTTGAAGACTGGTTCAACGCCTTTGCGAGATCACATATACACGAGCGGCTCTTTACTTTCATTTATGCAAAAAAAACTCTTAGAGCGTACGCTCAGTAGAGAGCGCGTTTCCCCGTGTTATCGATTTCTCTGTTGATACCTGTACTTATTTATTTACTATGTGTTTGCCCTTTCCTCTTTATATTAGGTTTCTTTAAAAAAAATCCTAAAATAGATGTATTTAATTGAAGGGCATAAAGTTACTTTACTATATTTGCCTTTTCCACTGTCCTCTCGCTGCACTTTATTTTTGACAATACTGAATTCATATCGTCAAGTTGAGAAATGGAAAAACTGTAACAAATACAAATACAGGAAAATCGCTAATATCGCTAAATTAAAGTGTCGCCAAAATTTCATGTAATAAGGTACTTGCATTTTAAAGAACGCGGCCTTCACGGTGCTTCCTTAGAGCAAAACGATTATTACATAAGCTTGTTGGTGGCCTTTCTCTCAGAAGGCTCACAATCCACCCTCAGTTTCTTCTGTACTGAAGACAAAAACTAGAATTATGTTGAATTGTCCGCTCACTACCTCATGACCTAGATCTTGACTAGCGCGCGTAACGTGCGCGATTTTGCGCGCGATTGGTTTGTTTCCGCGGTGGAACGAGGCCCCGATGGAATTTTCGCGAGCTAGGCAAAGCACTCGCGCGGAATCTCGCCAGCTACGAGACTAGATCTTGACCAATATGGGATTTAGGAATCTGATCCTCTGTCCACTGAAATCCAAATTCCCCTTACAAGAATTATAGAAAATGGATAACTTGCAGTAAGGAGAGTTTGGATAATCATGACATCAAGTTATTGCTTTCTGTCTCTACTTAAGCGCGAATTTTGAATTTGGTTGCCGTCTGAAATATTTGCAGGCAGCGAAACGAAAGCAGTTAAGCGCCATAGACGCTTCAAGGCTTCAAGGAATACCAACAGGGTAGGTGATGTGTTTTAATGCCATTGTTTGTCATATTCTGGCATCCGAGGAAACACGAGCCTTTTTCGATCGGAAGTCGATTCCGTGAGGCGTTGTTGGAGCATGTTACCAGGCAACATGACACTCGTGATGCACTCGTACTTATTTGTCACTGGATAATAACAATCGGTATGTCTTCGAGTATTTCCGTGACGATTTATTAGCCAATCACGATACTTCTTGTCTTTCTTCCTTTGCTTTTTGTAAATGTACGTTTATTGCCTCCTCTAATTTCTCGTCTTCTTTGCAGGACACATCATGACGCACTACAGGAAGACCTTAACACAACGGTAAGTAATGATGGCGAATAGCAATTTAAAAAAAAGTTAGAGTATAATGTTAGTTTATAGTTGTCAATACGCTTAGCTTCGTAGACACCTACGTTAGGTTTTTATTTTCATAATACAATATTGTCACATAATTCTACCTTATTTCATATCATTTTTATAATTCCATGGTACGTTGATTTATTTTATTTTCATTTTAATGTAACGTATTTAGTAGTATTAGTACTGAAAAGCCCCCATGGGTAGTGCTGATAAAATTTGTATTGTATTGTATGGTATTGTACACCTAGTTAGTTCTCGGAAAGTGTAGCAGCTCTGGCAGTCTTGCAATTCTACTTGTCATCAACGTGTAGCAGCTGTTATTGTTTTAGGGCTGGGGTAGTTCTCAGGCATGCCACTTAACTAAAAGAAACAAATATCCCAACTAAACATAACAGGCTTAAAACTCCCAACTGGCGGGAGGCAGACCAGTTGGTTATTTCCAGGCATGACCGAGAAGTTGAACTAAGTCTACCAAGAAACAACTCTATTACTGGTCAGGGCGGGACTTGAACCCGCGACCTTCTGACTTCAAGTCCGGCGCTCTAACCACTCGACCACGCTGCCTCATGCCTAGTTCCTAGGCCTCGATATTTCACCGCGGTCAATCGTTACGTCACCGATAGCAATTGACCGTCAAGGCCTGGGAAAAAAACCGTGCAGGAACTAGGTAACGCTGCCTCCACATTGAATAAATACTCACGAGTGGCGTATTAAATTTTGCCTGTAGCTGATTAAAAAGTTGTTATGAAATTGTCGAAATAAACGCGTTTTGTTTGTAGAAATTTTACATGCAGAGCGATTTAGTCCCTGTGGTAATTCGTGTGCCTTTTGATGTGTTTGTTTGTAGACTTTCTGTGGCAGACAAGTGGAAATCGAGAGCACACCACTTGAAATAACAAGAACGATCCTCGATACGACCTCAACGGACGAGGACAAAAAGACTCTTGTTGTAGCGGTAGGTGTGATTATTTTTAAGATGTAATATATCAAACACGGAAGGCCGTGTTTAACCACATTTCCAAACACCGAGAAGAGAGTTGGAATTACGACGCGCGGCGGAGTATTTTTGGAGGTGTTTGGAAATGTGGTCAAACACTGTCATGAGTGTTTGATATATATTTTCATGATTTCCTTTGTTTAAACTTGATGAATAAATTGTTAATGAGTTTGAGAACTTCAGATAAAACTTCTATTGTGTGCCGCCAGGGGTACAATAACGCCTCTACTCGGAGGATTCCCTCCGTGCGGATGGTGACGAGGCGGGTAAATCCTTCTAAAATAAATTTCATTCTGATGACGGAGCACTTCTTTGATCCGTGTAGGTCTCTGATTAGTTGTCATTTGCGCGCGAAAGTATAAAACCAAGTACATAAACCTCCGTAACGCTGCGAACACAGGAAGGAATAAAGCGACGTGTAGCACGTGCACTGGAAAATGTACGAGGAACATGTTGTAGTGACATAGACATGCTGCTACAGTTTCTCCGGTACATTTTCTCTTGTGTGTACGTGATAAATTTGTTCCCACCGCATATCGCTGCGGCACATCCTTGCAATCTGTCCCTTGGTGTATTTTTTCGGCTTCATCATTACAGCTCTCTCTCGAGCAGGGGAATTTCGAGCGATGTCTGTTGTCTTTGCTTTGGGATGGGTTCAGGAAATACTTTTATGTTTACGCAACAAACACTACTGAAATTCTGTGCCACTACTGCTGACAAACTGTTGTATTAACAAAGACTTTTCATTTTCTTTTGCAGTAACTGAGAGTCGGCCTCAACAATGGCTCGAATGTCACTGAAATTGGGGAACATTCCGAATAGAACCCACAAAAATTATTGTAAATAATATATCAGGTGTAGATTGTAAATAAGTTTAGTTGTCGCCATCAGGCTTGTGAGGATTTTTTAAAAAATTAATGTGTTTTCATATCACTTGTACATAAAAAGCTAGCATTATAGTTGGCGTTCTGAAGAAGCCGAACTCTGCTGTAAAGATGTTCGATGGCGAAGTAAACATCTGTGTAGTGTTATTTATATTGTACAAAATGAAAAATGAGTCATGAAGACCTATTGTTTCCATTTGGTTTTTGACTATCTTTTTGTACAACCTGCCTTTTTCGGTTTTCTTCAATCGGCTATACCATAGAATTGCGGAAGTAACGGTTCCCCCCGAATTTACCTTCCTACTGAATCCCGAAAGTGACGACCCACCCGAAAGTAGCGACCTTTTGAAAATTACCACTCAACTACAATAAAAAACCGTACCGGTATTATATTTGATTTAACGTTTCAAGCATTACTCTAGTAACAACATTTGGTGCCTGTTTATGTGGGTATACAGTAACGTACATAAACAGTTCAATTCATGTAACGCTTCCCCTGGTCTGAAACGACTGTGAGACCGTACAAACGTTTTTAACCATCCGAAAGTAACGGCTCCTTTTGCCTGCTAAATCCGAAAGTATCGGGGGCCGTTACTTTCGGACTTCTACGGTAATTTGATTATAAATGATAAATAAGATGGTTCGATGAATGAAGTGTGCTTTTGGTTGAATAACTTGCTACCGGCCTTTCTCTGTCTTTTCTTTCTTCTTGTCAGGTGCAACCCGTAAAATCGCGGTCGCCATGACAACCGACCCAATCTGGCGGAACTTGCTTTTCAGGTTTGTCGCAAGCATTCCATCTCGCGGGTTGGCCTGTCCCGCGGAGGTTTTTCGCGGGATCAGAGGATTCAGCTCGCGTTTCGCGGAACTTGCTGGTAACCTGGGCAGATTTAGCGGTGTCTCGTACAAACTGGTCTGACGTGAGTACAGCTCTGGTCTCTCGTTGGTCAACCTGCTTTGACCTGATTGAATCAAGGAAGCTGTTACTGGGCTTGCGACTCGGCTCTCAAAGGCGTCTTGTTGATAATCCAGGCTTGTTGTTCGAAGTGCACTTCCTGGTTGTTCCGAATGACTTGTTCGTTCACTACGAGGGCTCTTTGAAATACCCTCTCCTAGGTCAGGAATTGGGTCGCGCACACAGCTCAGTGGCTTCAGCTTCTGGTTACGCTCGGCTTCTGTGTGAAGGTTTTGAACGGAATAAAATGTATGTCTTCTCAAAGCGCTAATTGGTCTTGTGTTGCAATCCTTTCTCTTTCCGTCAATGACACATGGTAGGCTCAATCGCTGGTTCGCAAACCTTGGAGGCGCTGTGTATCGATCAAGGCTTTCCATCAAACTCTCCTTTGCCAAGGAAATTCTTCGCAGCTCTCTGTCAATGTAGAGCTTTTCTCGTGAGATAGAGTCGAGTTTCTGTTTCAGAAACTTGTCCTCGATGCAGTTTTGCGTTTGCACTCTCTTATTTCTTTCAGCTAAAACTCGATGCGGATATCTCGACATCTTGTACGTAGATTATATTTCACCAACGCCAAAGTTGTACTGTTGTTGGTACGAACCGACGTGGAATGCGGGAAGAGCTATTCTGGTGTGATAAACACCAGCTCCGGTTTAATTAAAACCAATTAAGGGCTTAAACTAATTAAATATAGTCCTCCATAGATGAAATAAGCCCAAGGGGAATTCAGTCTTTATTTCGGCGATTTGAACAGTTTACCGAGTTTACGACCAAAGCGGCAATAAGCCGGGTGTTTAACTAAGTATTTAGCTCCTCGTAAACAATCTCTTCACATAATATTTCAAAACTCTATTTAACGTTTTAGGGGCCTGATGGTTGGATAAATATTTTAAATAAAGTCCAACTTGTGTTTTCAAGCTAGCGCCTTCAGTTAGAGAAGATTTTTGTGCGTCACTTTGTACATCATCATTTGTACGCGTAATTTTTTGTACATCACATTAGAAATTCATTCTTACAAACACATGTAATTGTTTGGTGTAGCTACTATTGTTTGGGTTGCTAGAGGCATAATTGGTATTTTTTCATTTATTATTCTTTTAGTCAGGAGCTGAGCGGAAATTTCTACTTATTATATACTGCACGCACATTAATAGTCCAATCATATTCAAACACTTTACTGCTACTAGTAACAAAACGAAATGAAACACTGTTACTACTTCGGCTAAGCAATTTCGAAATAATTTATATTCTGATATTCAAGTAATTTTCTTTGGATAGACCAATGTTTACCCCGCCATGTCAAGTAATTTCGATTATTAAAATGGTAGGTACACAACCGTATCGACACACTGTCGCCTCCTTTCTTTGTGCAGTATACAATTAACAATTTTCCAGTGAAATTATAATTAATTTTCTGTTCGTTCTGTTGTGGCTAGTTCTGGTGCGGTTGTCATTTCTTCAGCCTCTTCTCTCAAAGCGTCAGCTTTCTCTTCTAACAGCATCTGAAAAGGAGATAAGAACTCTTTCAGTCCCAAGGTCAATATACGAACTCTAGCTAATTCTTTGTAGAAGTTGATTTCAGTTCTACAATAGACTATTGCTCGCAAATGAAGCGCGAAATAACTGTTGATTGAATGTGAAAATTACACATTTATAAACAATAAGATAACACAATATCAGCGCGCTGGAACCTGGATCTAGCACAGGCTTCAGATCAAGCACTCCGGGTTCAAGCCAGCCCCGGCAGTACTGGTTATCAGCCCAGACCGGGTCATTTGTGTTGTGTTCTTGGGCAAGACACTTTGCTCTGACAGTGCCTCTCTCCACCCAGGTGTACAAATGGGTACCGACGTATTTAGTGCTGGGAGGGCGGCGGGGTTAAACCTGCGATGGACCAGCATCCACGGTGAATAGTAATACTTGTAGTCGCTCCGTTGTACAGAAACCGTGCATGTAAATTCGATGCCAAACAATGTTTTCAACATGTAAATCGTCTGTAGACCTGAGAAGAATAACTCAGAGCTTGCGATTTACTATCTGGTCCAAGTATGTAACAAAACAAGCGAGTGCAGTACCAGTGTTGTGAATAATTAGGTTGCATTTAAGTTTTCTGTACATAACGTTTCTGTAAAACTGACACCAGATTTGTGGGTATATTGACAAACTGAAAAGGCGACTGTACGTGCTATTTTGCAGCAAAAAAGATCGTACGAACTGATAGTAGTACAGTGGAACTTCGTTAATCCGGTTACCAACGGACCACAAAAATCTGGCCATATTAACGGGCTGGCCGTTTTTAAGGGATTCTTTAAATAAGAAAATGACTGACTGAGCTTTTGATCGGACCAGAATAAAGTGGCCGTAAGGCGAGGTTCCACTGTAATAGTAATAGTAATAATTTAATTAAATTAAAAAGAAAATAAAGTACTTCAGTTAAAATCAAATCAAAAAAGAAAGTAAAGTAAAATGAGAGAAAGTATTTCACACATTAAGATAGGTTTCACCTTGGCCGCCGAAACGATCTGATGAGCTTGACGCCTGGAGAGATGTTCAATCTGTGTTACAAGTGAACTGGCATCGGCCCAGGCCAGGCTGCTAAGGGTTTTATAGCCTGCCTTGAGTAACTGGCGAGCGCGAGCCTGTCAAGGAATAAACATAATTAATCGTAAATGTTACCCCTGGGTTTAGGCATGACTCGAGGGAAAACTTTGTTAACAATGAGTGAGACCTCAGTGAGACCAGGTTAGACATTTCGTGACCATCTGTGTAAAATAACACAGAATGAGACCAGGTTAGCTCACTAGAAATGGTTAAAACGTCTCCAGTTAGCTTCCGGTTAGTTTCACTCAGGTTTGCCTGCGGTTAGCTTTCATTTTGTGATTTGGGTGACACTTAACTACATATATTTAGGCTTGTTGTATTTAAATTTATTCATCCTCTTGCAGCCAGCTCTCCGATGGTGTAGTGGATACGCGAAGGCATCCTGAAACAAATTTCTCGGGCTCGACTCCCGGTGTCCACATCTTAAAATTTCTTTCTACTTCTGTATATGAATTTAAAAAAACTAAGTGTTGAGTACACTTTATGTAAAAATTAGTAAGTGTGAAAACTGGTTCCACTCATTGAGAATTAAGGTCTTCCCGATAGGTTTAGCACTTACCTGTTTAACACCAGGAACCTCCATCAGAGGTACAAGCTCCAAGCTTGCCGTGTAGGACAATTTCTTCACCATGGCTTCAAGCAATAGATACACACCCCAAAACTCGTTCAGTTCCTGAAGGAGAAAAACACATAGAGAAAGAATCAACACTTTGATAATTTACTGCGAGGGGTCTGACATGTTGGATCACTAACTCCAAATGACCAGAAACGCTCTTACACAGGTATCGTTTCACTCTTTTTTTAGGATCCGGTTTGCACAAAACGGACTGTTTTGTTGTCTTTTAACTCTTTCACTGAATTTATTAAGCGTAGTTACTACTAATATAATAATTTCAGTCTTTAGAGTCTGAGGACCATGTGTTCATTTTACTTTATTTTTTAGTCGTGCCCTGTTTTCTGCTTCCCTAACTAACTATCCTTAGTTTCACGATTCATTCATTCTATTCAGAGCGGTTTTCACTTGAGTATAGAGTATTGAAAGTAATTTGAATTTACCTTGATTTTGCTTTACTACGTTGTGATTGGCTTAAAATTCTCATAGTACTTTCTCGACCAATCAGAAGTAAAACCAAAATCAATCGTGACACACTCATACAAGTTTTCCCGCGCTTAGTGTCGACTACATGTAACTGCGTCGAGTTTTGATTTGTTCACTGGATTGCCAGTGTCCTTTGTGACGGGCCCAAATGATTGGTTTTGGTTCCAACCCTGAAACTCGCTCTTGAGTATATTTAATTTTCAACCTCGAACTTACCCCAGTAAAGTGCACCATACACGAAGCGAACGAAGAAGCTGAAGTCAATAGATTCTGCACAAATCCTCGTGTCACCTTAAATACGCTGGCTACTTCCCATACTGTGTGTTCTTTTAACAACTTGTAAAGGATGAGAGTTAAGTAGAACCTCTTCACTGTAGCTTGCTCACTCATGTCCTAAATAACCGCAAGAAAGAACATGAATTGTCAGAGGATAATACGAAGTCTAACAGTGGGTTGATTAATTTAAAAGCGCGCTTTTTGAGACAATAGACAACAGCAATTTTTTCTGTAAAGGAAGGTCAGGGGCGATTGAGCTCCTTAGAGAGCTGGCTCAATAGACAGAGAATTATTTGAAAGGGGTTTACTAGGGAGTGTGTACAGAATGGAGAGGGGTAGTATTAGAAGTGGGTGAGAGAATGGGTTTAAAACTGGAAAATCAAGAGTCAGTGGCAAACCTTTTTCCATAGAACTTACGAGGGAGTGAATTATTTAACAAAGAACGAGCTTAATGATAAAGGGGATAAATTAACGGGAAAGGATTACAGAACGCGATCCAATTTGAAGAGAATGTGATTAACAAAAGGTAGTTTTTAACCTTAAATTGGGTGGGAATGATAAGAAAAGTTAAAATGAGGAACTAAAGGCAAACTATCTTTAGCGATCATTTAGAAACGTAAAAATAATCTGATCCAGAGGTCTTTTAAAAGAGGGTGGAAAATTTCCTTTGCACTTTCTGTGATCTAATCGGTTTCCTCTTTCCTTTCTAGGGCCAGAGGTGGGACTTCAAAGGAATTATTACTTTCTAGCACTGTCGAGTTAATAATGTTATTTACCTTTTTCCCTTGCTGCCCAGTTGCTCTTCTTGATAAAAAGCTCTCTGTGGCCCCAAACAGCTCGGCTACTTTCTGCTCTGACTCACTTAATGATAACACCTGATATGAAATATTAAATATGAGATTCGTAAACTAATACCAAAAAACTATTCGAGAATACAATACAGTCTAAATTGATCGTTGTAGGTAACTATAACTATTTATAGGGGCGACCTGTACCGTTTACAAGGTTGTTTATAATTGGCCAAACAAAACAGTAGGTGAACAACACAAACAATGCCTCTAGCCCTGAAACCAAAAGAAGCGCAGATTAACAAGAACGAATCAAAATTCAAAGAGGTACAGGTCAACTGTATTTATACGTGAGATGATGTTTCCTCATTTGTATATGCTATTCAGTTTAATTTCATACCCAAAGACCGAAGGTTAAATAGCCCACAGTTTCCCATACCAATTCTAAAAGTTCCCCATAGTAATGTAATACAAGTTATCTTTCAGTATCATAATGTACCATCATCAGTTTCATGGGAGTGTAATACCGAAATTTATACCATGCCATAGAAAATACAGCCAATCAGAATACAGGAAAGCTGTTATATGCTCGACAGTACTACACCAAACCTTCCCATCATGCACTGCATTGAATGAGTCGGCCATTGTATTTGCTACAGCAAGGTATAAAATAGTTGTTCAACACTATCTCGTGGTATACCATGGTATCCCACTTGCCACCTGTATTTTCTTAGTATACACACGAGCCTTTGGGAAAATACAAACGACTCGTAGGATATTCCATGGTATACCCCTCGAAAGGGTTACATAAATAGTATTTAATGAAACCTAGTTCATTGTATAATGCAATTCGAGAGTTTTCATTGGCTTAGCCATCATGGTATATCAGCCATTATACCATAGTTAACTATGATTATACCATGCTCCACGAATATGGTAAGCGTACGCGTGATTTTTTGTGGGCATTTATATTTTTATTTTAGTTTAATTTTCTATATTTTGCGGGAATTTTTAATAAAACAGTTATTCCACTCGCGCTTGTTGGATTTCAGATGATTATAGCCCACTCAAATCCAACGCGCGCTTATGGAATAGTTGTTAAATATTCAGGAAAGAAATATGTTGGCCCTTGTATGTTTAACAACGACTCCAATTTCCTGCAAGAAGTCTGAGGAGTTAACACCATTATCTTGTCCCACATTTTCGCACACACATGTACTGTTATCTTCAGATACGTTTGAGAGACCGGTCATTAATACAGATGTCCTTTGATCTCTGGGATTGCGTTGGACAAAAACAAGATGGTGCCACAGGAAGACGCATGGTCTATGGAAATGTGCGGTGTTCTTCCGAAGCAAAATTCTGAATCCACTGTGCATAGTGCACTATTTTACCTGCTTAAAGTACGTCATCCAGTCAGGCTCGATTGAATCCCTCAAGTCCGGTGGTGTGACAAGATAGAGCAGATGAAGTTCAGTAGTTAGGACAAGGTCCTCCTGCGCTCTTGCAAGCTCGCTGTAAATCATGGGACTGCTATCCACATCAATACACCCTACACAGGTAAACAGCCTTAAACAAGGGTTCCAACGAATGATTTCGAAATTGCCATACACAATATGGATAATTCTCCTTCGAACTGTTGCCATAGTTTACATAATTAAGCTATATTGTAGTTAATACAAACTGACATAGTTCTATATAACTGCGACAAAAATTCCAGTTCATAGCTTTGTCACTTCACAGTTCTGTTAAGATGTTTTATCTATCATTTTCATTCCTAATCGATTAATCAAACAACTTTCTTTGGTCTATATTCATACCTTTAAAAGTCGCCTGTCCAAGATGAGTAACTTCTATCTTTCTGCTCTCCGTAGGACCAGAAATATTAACATGTCCCAGCTTCTGTAACGAGTCCAGAGATTCCTCCATCTGGTCAAAAATGTCTACCGACTGCGATTTTGATTGCACGCACAGTAACGTGTTTTGCATAAACTGTTTCAGTTCTTCAGCGGTCGTGCACAGCTATGAAAAGAAAAAACCGTTTCAATGTTAACTACCAAGGGCATTAATTCTAAATGCAGCTTCGATCGCCGGTGAAAGTTTAAAACGATTCAAATCGATCTCGAATAGACATAAAAAAAATATAACAAGCAACAACATTGTTTTAACAAACTGTAGTTTGCATTTAGTTTTTTTGAAACAGAAGTAACATCTAAGTTGAAAACTCTTGGTTTGTATCTTAATCCTTCGCATTTCTTTGAGGCCAAGTAATAGAGCAACATTTTATTTGAAAGTCTCTCAACTTGTTGCGCAACATTGTTGCATTGCGCGTATTGCAATTTGTGGCAACATGTTTCACACAGTTAAACTCTTGTTTACTTCACACTGCATGTTGCCGCAACTTGCAACATGGGTGGTTATCATTTTCAGAACTCGGTCTTCATGAGCAATTCAGTACAATCCTGACATGTATGTTCCAAAACGACACGCGCCTTATGTGTCACAGCCTGTTTAAATTTCAAGGCAACCTATAAATTCTCCTAACTGATTCTTATACATGTTCTACAACTTGCCTGAGAGAGTTTAGTATTATGATCAATGCGTTTTCTTTACATGCACTCACTTCGAGTCCAATAAGTGTGAGAAGCATAGCTCGTAATCCTTTGCCATTGTCAAATAACAAACTACTGCAACAGCTCTCCAAGGGCCCTGAAAACAGGTGTTGGATCTGTGAACAAGAAAAGACAGAAGATAAAGCAAAGAACAGCAAAGCTCCCAAGACGCTGCTCGTTCTCGCTTGACGCATCTCGTTACTCGCGAGACGCCTCACATTTCTCGCGAGACCCAATTAGAAAATATAAGAATACTTGAATTGTTGGGCCCGATTTTAAAATGAACACGAAAGTCGTGTTTTAGACCTCGTCCACACTAACGCGTTTTGGCGTGAAAAGGCAAACTGATGCGTTTTTGCCTGTAGATCGTCCACACTAAAACAACAAAAAACGCTCATCGTTTTAGCCGCGAACGCATACATTTGTCCAGAGCCGAGACAATTGAAAACGGAGCCCTATGTAGAGTAGACAGCGAAAACAATGCGAAAACGGTATTGTGGAAGTGGAGCGTTTTCGGCGAAAACCCATCGAAAGTGCATCGATTGGAAAAAACATTAACAAACACGTGTATTCTATTTTAAATTTTGGGAGCTTCTAATTAACAAACTATAGCAAGAACTGTCGAAAAATAGCCCCGGGGGTATTCACATATAAAAAGGTCGGGGGAGCTCGTCGGAACTTTTGATAAGAACCCCTGAGGGATACCAAGATCCTGTTTTGAGGGCGTGGTTTGGACCTCTTCTTCACCCTTAAGAGGTGCCAATTCTAAAACAACAGAATGTCTCCTGTCATATTTTTTTTCCGCTCAACACACTAAAAGGTACCGCAGAAGTTCAAGACAAGCAGCCTTATTATATGGAAGTGTAAGAGGTACTAAAACTCTCCCAGGGAGGGCGGCAGTGTTGCGTAGGTTGCAAAAAAAAGAAAACAAATAAGCAGACAAAATAAGAAATGGTTTATTTCTCAAAAGAATATGATAATCATNGTTAATCGTTTTAGCCACGAACGCATACATTTGTCCAGAGCCGAGACAATTGAAAACGGAGCCCTATGTAATGCAGACAGCGAAAACAATGCGAAAACGGTCTTGTGGAAGGGGAGCGTTTTCGGCGAAAACCCATCGAAAGTGCATCGATTGGAAAAACATTAACAAACACGTGTATTCTATTTTAAATTCTGGGAGCTTGTAATTAACAAACTTTAGCAAGAACTCTCGAAAAATAGCCCCGGGGGCACTCACATAAAAAGGTCGGGGGAGCTCGTCGGAACTTTTGATAAGAACCCCTGAGGGATACCAAGATCCTGTTTTAAGGGCGTGGCTTGGACCTCTTCTTCACCCTTAAGAGGTGCCAATTCTAAAACAACAGAACGTCTCCTGTCATTTTTTTTTTTCCGCTCCACACCCTAAAAGGTACCAAAAATGCTCCCACTGTGGACGTTTTGAGGCTGAACACCCTGAGAAGTACCACAACCGCTTTTTGAACCTCTTAAAATGTACGACAAGCAGCCCTTTTTTTATATGGATGTGCCCTCCCCCCTCCCCCCGGTGGGAAAAAAGCATGTGATTGTTGGCGCATTACGAACAGCAGAATTCTTACCTTAGGTTTGTCAGAATCTTTGATAATAAGAATACTCTCTCCTGAAGTGTCAATGCCTGCTCGTCCCGCTCTGCCGATCATCTGTTTGTATTGACTCTGGCTGAGTATAGAGATACCCACATACGGTGCACGGATAATGACTCTGATCACAAAAATTATACGGTGGCTATTAATTCTCAGATCATGCTCCAAGTGAATTTAATTTGCACACTCTTCACCCGTAGTCGTGTACCCTAATTCACAGTCTTCATAAAGCTGGAAAAAAAATAGCTCAACATCGACGATATACGTAACCAAATGTAGAAAAATGTCGAACTAACTTGTGCTTGGGATAGACTGTCCACAGCCGTTTCCGTTTTTCTTCTTCTTCTCTCAAACTGTTCCCTTTTTTACTTCTCAGAAAAATCGAGCGAGCGAGGTGAACGCTCGTCTAATTTCTCCGCGGTTTTTATTTTGTTTGTGCCCTCGACGATGTAAGGCTGCGTTCCTTTGGGATGATCTGGATCAGGATCAGTGATCCAAGATCACTCAGATCACGGTGCATCAAAGGAACCGATGAATTCACTCTGGTCCAGGATTCATCGGTTCCTTTGATGCACCCGGCATGATCCGAGTGATCTTGAATCGTTTATCCTGATCTTGATCCTGATCATCCAAAAGGAACGCACCCTTAAAGAATTGTTTGGCAGTATATCGATGCGAGGAGAGTAAGATTCTAGTCAATCGAATAAATTTCAAGAAACAGATCGAAGAGAAGTCATATATCTTCGCGTGCATGCAGGTTCCGAATGGAGAAGGAAGAAGCCACTGCAAAAAAACGTATTACCTTCTTCATGGTTGCCACAGGTATCACTTTTCAAAATTCCCCGACTTTTCTCTGGCAAAAATAATATTTCGCTGACCAAAATGGCAAATAAATACAAAATGTCAGATCTAGTAGCCGTCCCTTTGTATTCGTTCATTAAGATTAATAAGTTTCACCAAATTTTCCATCTTCATTAAGGAAAAATATCGTTGAGACCACAGTGACACCAAATGTTCTTCCAGCCTTCAACGGTATTAAATCAGCCGTGTTAAACTATTTCAATTTTCCGTGACTTTTCTTCAAAATGTCAATTTCCCCTGACTCACACACACACACACACCCCTTTCCAAACAGACTACAAACCTCTTTGCCGGCAGGTTAACACCTGCTGCCAAAGTAGAGGTACATGTCAGAAGGCATAGCACACCCTGACTGTAACCATCTTCAATTAGTTTCCGCTCGTCCATCGTCAGTCCACTGTGATGGTATGCAATGCCGAAAGGAATGGTCTGTCTTAACACAGGACACAGACCACACGCTTCATTGTACAGAGCCCTCATCAGCTGCTGCCTCTCCATGGCTTTCACTTGGCGTAATTCCCTAGATGCGTGTAACCAGACACTTTGTTACAAGTTTTAGAAGAGAAAAGGCACTGAAACCAATATTGGAGCTTTCACTGTCAAATATCAGATACTTGATTACAAGTTTTAGCACAGGAAATATTGGGGCTTTCACTAACAAAGCCTTCACTCAACATGATTTGCTACAATACTTATAGATGTGGGTAACCGGATATCTCACAACAAGTTTTCGAAGAGAAAATGCACTGAAACCAGCTACTGGAGCTTTCACTATCAAAGGTAAGAAATAGTCCTTTCTTTTGACACGGTGGAAATCCTTGATTTTTTCAAGGTCCTTCCCGGTTGTAGGAAGTTCTCCTGCTCTTCACAATCGGGTTTTGAACCTCGTGGACACTTTTTCATTCCGATCTTACTAAGTTTTCGCAGCTGACTCTTGAGTAGCTCTTCTCAAATCACTGACTTGTAACGTGAAATAAGTGAGGTTCTTGAAGAGAAGTGCCTCTCTGGCCTAACTAATACAACTCAGAAAAATAAATACCAAAGAATTTACGCTTTACCTGGGCATTAACTTTATGAGCAGTAATGCCAAGTTTTCACAGTTCTTCTTAGTGGAACAAAAAACCAGACAGGAGTGATCAGGAACAACCTCCAAAACCAGGGCTAACAACTGATCTGGATCTCGCTTCAGGGTTTCTTTCTTTTGGCCCTGAAAACAATGACAAGCGTTTCAGAGCAACAGCACAATGTTACAGCCACAAAAAAGCGTGTTCACAGCCAGAATTTACATCAAGAGGTTTTGGTCCAGCCCTGCCCAAGATTTTGTGTTGTATTATTGTCCAAGGCACTTTGTATTCCCTAGTACTTTATGCACAAAGTACTTGAGAGGCAAGGGAGCCCAATGGTCAGTGCGCTAAACTACAAACACGTGGTCCCCTCCTTACATACTCTCTTTTTCTTTTATAAGAGAATATGATATTGTTATTTTCCTGGCGATTTTAGACTGAAAATAATCTTGAGAATATTCTTAGATTATAATGGCATTTCTGTTTTCCAATGTCAATTTGGTGTCTGGATGGCATTAAAGTTATTTTGCATAACGCACATAACTTCTTGCAGATATATTATTAGCATTGAACATATGCCGGTTAGTCAAGTGCTGTTTTGGTTTGTTTTTTGGCTAGTTTTGCCATTTAGAGAAAGGAAGAAATTTATATGGTTTAGTTAAAAACATATAATTGTGTTGAATTTACAAATTTTCAACACACAAAAATATATTCTTTTCAAAATCTCAGCCTCAGGTTTATTCTTGAAATATGCTTAAAACTTCGCGAACTTCAGCCTCAATATTCTTTTAAAACATATTCTTATAAAAAATAGAGAGTGTAGTGTTCCGGGTTACGGCCCTTAATGACAGCCTGTCACACTATGTTGATTTCATAAACCAGTGAATCAGTTCTCTCTACCTGTTTGTTATTAATCCTCCTGAAAACTTTACCAGCTTCGTCCTCAGGATCTGAAGGTTTAGGGACCTTGTAAATGTCATGGCCCACTTTCACAAACTCCTTCAGCTCGACCTGATTAGAAGTACAAATTAAAACAATGAGAAAATGACATGGCTACACAAAAAATGCTTACTCCAGGCTTTTACACCTTTCTATGTGAGATGTTCACAAGCAAATATACAGAAGGAAGCTGAAATCAGTAACACCTTATCCCCAGGATAAGTTTCCTCACTTATATAGGTGAGGAAAACCTATTAAAACCCCTCACAATGTACAACTAACAAAAAGGGGTTTACAAGTTACATCTTAAAATAATACACTGGAAGTCCAGTGACCAAAAAATCTAGAAATTGATTGCCTTCAAAATTACAGTCGAATATTTAGCTACAAACACCTACCCCCATAAGTGGACAACACTGAACAATCTCTTTAAAAAGAAGTTGTTGTCCTAGACTTTGATCAGACAGACAGACAGACAGACAGACAGACACTTAGCTTTTCCCTCAGTCACTTGTAATTTGTCAAGGTCATAGACAGATATTACATTAATCTCTTATGAGCAAACACCTCTCCTAAATGGGTCAATACTTATTCTTGTACCAAGGGTGGTATTATTATCTAGGAAGGTAAGGTGAAGTCTATGTTGGGCCAGGTGGTCCATGTAGCCATTCACCTAAATATCATGGCCTCTTCAGGGGTTTCATTAAGTGAATAACGTTTTCAGCAGTTTTTTGAGCTGAGCAAAATTACAACTAAAACTGTCCTCTAGATGGTCAAACCAGCCGGGCAAAATCATCCTCATGGCCATTCAATTTTCCCGGTGCCTGGCCCTTAATGAAACCCCTGGCTTCTGTAGCACTATTAAAGAGACTAGGAGGATTTCTGCTAGCCCCCCTCCCCTGGTTTAACGCATTAAATTCACCGGTACCCATATATATACACCTGGGTGGAGAGAGGCACTGTGAGAGTAAAGTGTCTTGCTGAAGAACACAGCACAACGTCCACAGCCAGGGCTCAAACCCAGACAACTCAAGCTGGAATCCAGTGCACCAGCCATTAGCTGGGCCAACACACCTGCACTATTGGGATCTAATTTAACTGTACACTTACTGGTCTAAAATCATTTGAATACACCTCAGCCTTTAAAAATGCCTTCAAGTCTGCAATGTTGCTTAAAGTAGCACTCATTCCAATTATCTGGGTGGTGGCTGCAAATCAAAATGCAAAAGAAATCATTTCAACGAGATAAATTGACACTTGCTTACTACTCTTTACTCAGTACTGTTTTTAAGAGTACAAAGTATAGTGAACAAGTCAATACAATTTCACTTCAAAATGTAAATGATTAAAACTCATAGAAATACTTAACTGCAAGGATTTTCTTGCAAGAGTATAACATGCCAATTACAGCACCCAGAATGCACTGTGGGTGGTAAAATTACCTCCATCTCTGTCGATATACCGGTTTTTTTAATGAGCTGTTCCAGTCAGATTTAACTATGATGTGAACATAGCAATATTATACTTAAAAGTTAGATGTATACAAAATTAATCTGATAATCATTTTATGTGAAATTATGATTCATATCCTACTTACAAGAAACAAACATGAGCTTGGCCAAACACATCTCTAAGGTGGCCCCCCTTACTGTTTCACCCAACATATGTAGCTGGTCACATACAGAAAAAAAAACAACGTTAGACAAGGAAATATTGACTAGCCTATAGGGACATTAAATTATATACATGTATGATTACAGCTTCTTCTATATTATAGTAATCAACTTTCATAAGTGGAGAAGTGAAATTAATATGTAATATATATACCTAGTAAGTAGTTTTGATCTTCTGAACTAGTCTTTCCATGAGACTTAAATAGAAGTTAAAGCCAAAAACCAAAAGCACTAGAAAGAGTTACCACTAATATTCCTGGAGTAGTTTAAATTAATATTTCGTTGCTGTAATCAATGGTGAGAGGATTCAACAACGAGCAAAATATTAACTGAACAGCTTCCATATTAGTGACATAATAATAGGTTATTCTATCCTATGGATATTCCTTGTTATACATGTATATATCATGTATCTTGTTCTCTACATTATGTAAAGGACAGAGTATTAACTGAAGCTATTATTAATAAAATTATGAATAACTAATAAAATATAATAAATTCAAGCAGAATTTTACGATAATCAACAACAGATGTTCAACACACAAGATATTATCAGCAGACAGCCAGATTGTAGAACAAACTTTGGATTCTGATACAGTGTGTACCTCATCAACTACCACTAGACCCAATGTTGAAATTCTGCTTTCTCCAATGAGGCTGTTAACCAGGGCATTTGCCTGTTGAGAAACACTTACATATCACTATAACGATATCAATAATAATAATTTAACAACCCTACCCCTCAAGATAAGACCTAAGTCAAATCTTTACATTATTTCAAGTGTATAACCTCATTTTCAAAAGGCTCTCATTTATTACCTTTTATCCATCAGTCTGCTAATCTACAGAATAACACTTCAGTTTTAATAGTGGAGCTCTGGTGGCCCGAAAAGTGGAACACTATAATTCTAGGGAAAGACCCACATTACAACAACAACAACAAAATGCACAGATAGAAATAAGTGCAGATACATGGAGATACATTAGATACATGCATTCAGTGAAATAGAAAACCATGCAACACCTTTTTTCATGGTCAACATGGCCAGCAGCATGGAATACGCTAATAGGTCGACCAAGTCATGCAGCCTCAGTTTACTGCATACATCTCTGATCATAATGGACATCCATGTTATGTTCAATTGACACCTGTCAAATCAAGGTATCCGCTGACAAGTATCATGTGACCATATCGCAGGCTCAGGTTTGACCGCTGGCATGGTAATGGTTTTCAATTGTTTTTCAGTTGTTTATGGGTTTGAATCAACATTACCCAACAAAAAGCAAAACATGCTCAAACCTTTTCTATTGTTGCAATGTACACAGACTTCTTTTTGCGTCTGCTGCGGGGTGGAATTTTCCCTCGACTAGCAGCATACTCCGCCACTAAGAAGCCAAGCTCAACAGCAAATTGAGTCAAAGATTTAACCTGTTCATTAATGGTGAAGCAATCAAAACATGCATCAGTGTTTGGCAGGCTACCTTTCTTCCTTTAATGCTGGGGGCAACCCTGTGATGGACTAGCATAACATCCAGGGGGGAGCAGAAATATTCCGAGACACTTCATGCTACAGAAACCAGGATAAGCTCTGGCCTGATGGGCCACTTGGCTCGTACATGCAAACTTTACCTTTTTTCCCTGAGACCAAGACATGTTATATGATTCTGTCTAGCAGCTGCATGGTTGACAACCCTTTCTCACTTTTAAATTTTTAATGCCAATCATTCAGCATCAGGAATCTAGTTACAAGTGAAGTAAAAGAATACCTTTTCCTGAACAATGGACACAAATGGAAGAACAAACAAGGCATCCTTTTCTTGTAGCAGCAGCTCTTTAAAGATAAGAATTTCTGCCACCAAGGTTTTGCCTCCACTTGTTGGAAGAGAGTAAATCAAGTTTCTTCTCTCCTTGACAGCTGGCAGATTGAGGCAGTCTGTCTGCCACTCTGCAAGAAATGTACTGCATTAGAGGGATAGTCCTTAGCTACTAATAGCAGTATTCAACTGGCAATTTTCTATACAAATGAAATTTTCTAGGAAGGTTGCAACTTTCTCACTGATACCTACTGAGGAAAAATAAGAAGAAGAAGTTTTGTACTAGCCTAGTTTACCACATAAAGCCTCATGCTTTAATTCTTGTGCAGTCCATTGTAACTAAGCTGTAAATATTGCAAAATTTGGACCACTTGGGGAGCCAATCAGAATTCTCTTTTTATTGCGGACCAGTTCAGCCATGTAATAAATATGTGTATAACTCTCACCAAATCATACAACCGTTTCCTGACTGGCTTCTTATGGTGCACTTTTTATGACAATGTTTTTATAGTACAGCTGTATGTAAGTAATTTAGGAATAACTCTTTTCATAGTTCAATAACAATAAATTTATCAAAACCAACACTTGTTCATGCACACAATTGTGTCACAGTAGCAGCATTTACTGCAACAGCTGATCGATCCCCCGTCGTGGTCAGTGTAAAAACACAGACTGTGGACTGCAGACTGCGGACTGCAGACTGTGGACCGGGGGTAAAATGCAGACTGCACACTGTAGACTTTGTTACTGAATGGTGTTACCATTTCCACTAATGAGAGCTAACCAAAAACAGTTTAGCCAGAGTGTTATTCAGGCTAACCGGAGTGATATTCAGGCTAGTTGGAGCACTATTCAGGCAAACCAGAGTGCAGACTTACCCTCTGATTAGCCTGAATAACCCTGTTTACGGTGTTAGCCATGCTCGATAATGGAAATAACAACTTTGGATAAGTCACAGCTAACATCTACAACTACCAAGAAATCATCTCTTACCATACAAATTTTCTATTCCTTTGTACTTCTGTAACAGCTCTTTGACTTCAAGTGGCAAGCCAAAAAACTGGTTTGACTCTTCTTTCATCGAAGTTACACAATTGTCACGTTGAACAGGAGCGGAGGCAGCTGATGATGAACTAGTGATTTCGCTCAGATTTAAGGCAGCTAAAGCGCTATCGTCGCCATAAAAGCTGGAGGTGTCCACTACACTTTTGAAATCAGTTCCAACGGGCGAACAACTTTGTCCTTCAAACTTTGGTTCATGTTTATGAACACTCGCCGAAACCTGAACGACACAATCCCTTCTGACTGGGGTGCTACAGAAGTTTTGAGCAAAAACAACATCAGTTAAAGGGTTTTTGCATTTTCCTGAAGGCCGTTGTTCGTTCACTTCACTCTCACTACAGCTGCTGTGCGAACTCCTTCTCTTTGACCTCTTACTCCTTTTGACCTTCAAGTCGGAGGTTGCCTGAATTTCGTTGCTTTTTACATGATCTGCTGTCAACTTGCGTCTAAAATTGACCTTCTTCACCGATGGTACATCTTCGCATCGCCTTTTATGGTCGTTTACTGGAAGGGAATATGCTTCCCTTTTCGCAGTATTCATTTCTTTTAAGCTTAAAATCCATCATATGGATCCCCTTCGTTTATAGCGACTACAAATACCCCTTCATACTTCTCGCGCAACGAAGTCTCTGTGGGCAGCCATGTTCATCATCTGGCGCGCAAACTCTCTATCCCATCGGGTCATAGTGGGGGCCTTTACCGGCCTTTATCAGTAACCTGGGCCGGGAGGACTAGGAAGACTGGGTCGGTTCTGCAACTTGCTGAAATTTCTTACTACCTTTAATTCGTCAATTTCGTCCAGTTTTATCATCAATAAGGGGAGAGAAGCCCATTCTTTTTTTTTTTGCTCTGTCCCTGAAGAGCAGATCACAGCACAAACTGTACTAGTTCCTACAACAAACAGAAAGCTCTGTAAGTATCGATTTGACTCAAGCTTTGTCTGATTCTTGTGCAAGCCTATGATTCAACACATTATGCCCATTAATTATATAACATCGTTTCTTGCTTACTTGTTTTTGTTTTGGGTGATGGACTTGATTAGTCCCTCTTCTCTCTACGTCCGATACAAGTCAAGAAGCGAAAAAAGAGAGCTAGGTATGCAAAAATAATATAAATGTCTGAAGGAAAACCAGGTAAGACATATATTTTTCCCTCAATTTTACATTTTTTTTTAACGATCAAAGCAGGGTCAAATCTTTGTCAATGTACCAGATAAAATTACCCATGTTATTGTAAAACAATGCCTCAAGTAAAAGACTCAAGACAGAAAACATAAAACAGAATGCAGAACATGGAAAATAAATTTTATTTCCTTGACCAATTCTGATAGGTAACCTGTTGCTGGAATTCCCATGGTCTTATATGTCGCCAGTCACCACATTACTTACTTTGTTCCATGCACTTAAATATGTCAGATTGTGTTAAAAATTAAAAAATTAATGTACAAGAAAAGTCTCACTCCAGTTCTTCTTTCTGACTTTAATAACAGGTTGAGCTCACAAGCTTACTGGTACTTCACCCATTTTATTGTAACCAAGCCAGGAACAGGCAAGGGACTGAAGGAAGTGACTTGGGGATGATCATATGATGGTGTTCAAATGAGAGGGAACTTAAGACCAACTAGCCTGGCTCTCTTCCAGGAGAAAAGAAGAAAGAAAAATTCTCATTTTGCTTTTCTCACTTAAAACCAGATGGAGAACCTCACCATTTTCTCCCATTCCACTGTCTCTGGAGGAAAATTTTGAATCTCCACTGAAATTTGTCTACAAAGTTTGTAAAAGCAACAAAAACAATTGAATGGGTTGGTCAAAAACAATATTTTAAATGGAATATTTGTGTGATAAATGTACACATTTCATTTACTCTATTCAGGCTAACGGAACAGGCAAGATAAAGTGATGTTCCTCTTGTAAAGATACTGTTTACATTATTTTTTCCCCTCCATATCTCACGTTGAAAACTTTGAGGGGAAGTTCACTATTGTCAGTTTGAAGACACCACCAGTTCTACAAGCTGTGAAAGTCTTGCTGCCTTTATAATTGTTTATGTAATATCCTCTGGAGCAGTCTTGTCAGTCTCATTCTAGGGTGTACAGGGTCACCATTCCATGGCTGAATTACAATAAAACTTACACTAGTGAGGAGCAAGGATTGTGCAGTGGTGAGAGCGATCGCCTCCCACAAATGTCGCCAGGGTTTGATTCCAGGTGAGCCCAGCACCATAATATATGAGTTGAGTTTGCTATTGGTTCTCTCCTTGCTCCAAGGTTTTTCTCTGAGTACTCCAGACTCACTCCCTCCACAAAACTGGAACATTTCCAAGTTCCAATTTGAACCAGTATAGAGGACCTGCATAATGGTGATGTGGCTTCCTCAGGAAATAATTATTGTAATTTAATTTATCTGGTCACAAGCCAGGGCATCGTCATTCATCTAACGACTGTATTTACTGTGCCTTGAACTCTTTTTATTCATTTTTGTTTTCAACCCAGTTGCATGAAATGAACCAGCAATTCTTTCAACCATAGCAGTGCTCAGCAGTGCTCAAATATCCCTCGGAGAATTGAGAAGGCTACAGTCAGGAGGTCTTTTCAGGTTTTATCAATTTAGCTTGCACAAATATCCTTGGAACATCAATGCCTTCCTTTTTATTTACTGTTCTCCTGTGTGCATATTCATTGGCCAGTGTTTGAAATCCAGCTTGATGAAAGAGTTTCTCAACAATATCTGCAAAATGAAAACAAAACAACAACATAAATTAAAGCAATATTAATAATAAATGCACAGCCTCGAACACAGTTTCCCAAACTGGATTTTCTTTCCTCCAAAACACCAGAACTACATTAAGTTATGTTAAGCAGCACAGCAAAGAGCAGGGAAGCCATGAGGAGAACGGAAAGTAGTCAATTCCCTCATGGCCACTTAGTTTCCTGCACCAGAATATCTAATGCATGGGAGTAGCAAAGACACGAGGAGACGGGAGACTGAGAGAAGTCAATTCCCTTGTGGCTTTATTGATTGTGCTTGTGGCTCAGGCACTGAAACATTTCAAAAATCCCACCAGCTATAAAAGTCACCCTGAAAAAAGGACTGATGCTGCAAATATACTACTTGGATGTACAACAGCTATTTATTTATCCATACTTCATGTTGAGTTTGGGAACAGAACAATCAAAGGAGCTACTGGAAGATCTTGAAAAATAGAACTCAAGCATGTCTTTTTCTTTTATCCAGGCCAATCACTCCACTGCCCTGAACCATCAAATTTCCATAAGTGCCTTTCAACCTAAGTATGCTTTTGGACAGTTTAAATTTCATTCAAGACTCCTGTGCTAGTTGTGATTCTGAAAAAACATGTCTGTCTATTTTTTTACCAGACGATAGTATTATCAGGAATGGATGAAAAGCAGTACAAAGAACACGCCATTTTGGGTGGATGCGACACAGGAAAACAAGTTGCTCACCTTTTGAAAAGTAATAAGCTCTGGTGCCATCTTGTCGAACATAAAAGTTATCTGAAAGTTTATTTGCAGGATTGAATCTCAGCATTGCGTGGTCATANGAGGAGACGGGAGACTGAGAGAAGTCAACTCCCTTGTGCCTTTATTGATTGTGCTTGTGGCTCAGGCACTGAAACATTTCAAAAATCTCACCAGCTATAAAAGTCACCTTGAAAAAAAGGACTGATGCTACAAATAAACTAATTGGATGTACAACAGCTATTTATTTATCCATACTTCATGTTGAATTTGGGAACAGGATAATCAAAGAAGCTACTGGAAGATCTTGAAAAATAGAACTCAAGCATGTCTTTTTCTTTTATCCAGGCCAATCATTCCACTGCCCTGAACCATCAAATTTCCATAAGTGCCTTTCAACCTAAGTCTGCTTTTGGACAGTTTAAATTTCATTCAAGACTCCTGTGCTAGTTGTGATTCTGAAAAAAACATGTCTACCTATTTTTTTTTTTTTACCAGATGACAGTATTATCAGGAATGGATGAAAAGCAGTACAAAGAATACGCCATTTTGGGTGGATGCAACACAGGAAAACAAGTTGCTCACCTTTTGAAAAGTAATAAGCTCTGGTGCCATCTTGTCGAACATAAAAGTTATCTGAAAGTTTATTTGCAGGATTGAATCTCAGCATTGCGTGGTCATACAGTCCATAATCACGGAAAAACAGTATCCCACCTGGCTTGAGAACCTGATATGAACAAACTAAAAAAGTTATTGAATAGTTATTTTACACTTCATACAAAGATCTCTGAGTGGATCAGTCTATTGGTTGGAAGTGAACTATTACAGCTTCATTCACTTGTCACTCACCTCACTCACTGTGATCTCACCTCACTCACTGCAACCTTATACTCACAAACCTTGCTCACCAAGTTCACTAAGAGCTTACTGCGTTCACTGCAACCTCATCTTCACTCCCCTCTCTCCACGGAAGCTCACTTCACTCACTGCAAAGTCACCTTGCTCACCAGGAGCTCAGCATGCTCACCTCGCACACCATGAGTTCACCACAAGCTCACTTTGCTAACCTATAGCTCACTGCACTCACATTGTTCACTGTGAACTGACTCACTCTTAGCTCATTGTTCATCTCCAGTTTATAATGCTTACTACATTCACTTATTTCACCCTGCTAACCTTGCTAACCATGAGCTCACCTCACTGACAATGCTCACCACAAACTCCCCACACTCACTGCAAGCCAAGTGAGTTCATCTCACTTGGTGTGAGCTGACCTCGCTCACCTTCAGCTCATTGGTTGCTTCCCCAAATCACCACCAGCTCATAGTAAGCTCCTCTCACCCACCTCTGGCTCATCTCCAGCTAGCCATAGCCACTTTGCTCAACACTCACACCTCCCTCATCATGCTCACCTCCCTCACTATGAGCTCACCTTGCTCATCTCACTCACAGCATTCACCTCAAGCTTACTGTGAGGTTGGCACTCACTCATGCTCACTATCTCACTACAAGCTCACTGCATTCACCTCACTCACTGCAAGCTCACTTTGCTCAAGCTTGCCACACCCAGTGCACTAACCTTGCTAAACTCCCTTGCAACACAGTCAAACTGCCCTTAGAAGCATCAAGAACATTGTCTTTATAGAGGAGGTGATTATAAATGTAAACACTTAGAAAATAAAAAAATAATAACTCAGTAAGAGCAAGAATTCAAAGGGTTTTTCACCTGAATAATATTTTGAAGAACAGCCAGCATTTTATCAGGATGAATAGCAGAGAGAACAAACACCAAAGTTGCAATGTCCACGCTACATTGCGGTACATGGGACTCCAAAGTGTCGACTGTTAAATTACACTGGAATGCATTCACCTTTCCTTCACTGAAAGCAGGATTTTCCTACACAGCCATGAAATAAAAGAGGAAAAACTTGTAAGATCAGTCATCTTTGAGTTGAGTTGAGTCCACTAAAAGGTGTACTTCTATGGTTCAACAGAAACACTGAACTATCATGAGCTGTTGGCGTAATGGTGCAAGAAAGGCAAATTTTCATAACTAAACTAAACAAGTGATTTAACATCAAGTCAACTTTATTCTGAAAAAGTTTTTAGGTTATATACATCATTTGCATAGTTTTTATAAAAAAAAAAATCTTACCTTCACAAACTGGACAGCTCTTTTTGAGAAATCACAGGCATGAATAAATAGATTTGGGATTTCCTCAAGCAGTGGAAAGAAAAGATTTCCCACACCACATCCAGCCTCCAGTAAAACTTTACATGAATCTGGCTTCATTGAAAATAATAAAAGATTTGTTCAGATGGCCAGTTGAAAAGGTCTCATGAAAAATCTTTAACCTCAGTGTTAGCTTAAAGGTTCATAGCACCCCAGACAATGTCTCCAGCATATGGGACCTGGGTGTGGCCGGGAGCGTAGGACAGTCACTGAAAACATTGCTATTGAGTGTGGATCATAACCACTGCAATGACCCAACCTTCAGATTAGCCTCTGATGTGAATGGTAATATATTTCACACGGTGTACAGTTTTTGTTTTGTTTTTTGTTTTCATGAGAGCTTTTCATTTCAGCTTGGCTATACAGTGCTAATATGTCTATGAGTACTAATCAGAGAAAAACAGTGATCTATAGCTATCGCAATACTGGATACCCACTGCAGCAGTGACAACAAGGACAACATACTCTGTTATGTTCTTGAAAATTTCAGGTATCTGTAGATCTACTGTCATGGTATTCAGTGCATCTACCAGTGTTAGAACTATCCTCAACTCAAAGTGTAAAGAGATGGTCTAGTTCCAAAAAGAAATATCACTAATTTGCCACTATGGCTCAAGTTCTCCAGAAAACTCAGGATTTGCAGAATTTAAAAATGCATTCCCAAAGCAACTATTCTGCACATCAAACCTTTTCTTTGTAGACCTTCTTGTTGCCATCGTTGTGGTTCGCGTAAACTCACTATCCAACTATCCTTGTCCCAAGATTGTCCCCATGATGCCCCACAGCCCCCTCCCCCCTGCTGCAATGGTTGCTGACCAAAACGACTGTGGTAGAGAATGAGGGCATGACTATTACTGGCTGTGTGTTTTGCCTACACCCTTGAAATGAGTCATCTGACAACTGCTTTTAAATTCTTTAAATTTTCCCTCATTGGTCCATATGGCGGTCCATATAGTATTACTTACTTCACAGTTGTAAAACAACAACTCCTTAAATTCTGCAGTAGTCCAGTGTCTGTCTTTGAAAAAGTTTGTCGTGTTTCTCTTATAAAATAAATCCCAATTCTTTTGCGCTTCCTTTTCTAACTTATTCTGTTTGAAATCTGACACAACCTTGCTGTTGTCTTCAAGTTTTCTCCTTTCATCTTCAGTCAGAACGCGAAAGCTGGCCTTGTCCGCCATTGCTAATGATAACCGCTGACCAAGAAAATACTTCCCATGAACCTTTGCGAATCGGAAGTTAGTATCCCAGAAGGCATTGCAAGATCAGTACAATTTCCAATCGCGAAGGGAAAGTCAAAATGTCGGAGGAAAATAAGGTAAATTACCAAATTCCTTGTTGAAGTATATTTTTTGCTCTGTTCTGTGAATTACTTAAGGCTTTTATGAGTTGCATAAAATGATTTTCTTTTTAGGAGGTAAAACCTGAGTCGGAGCACATCAACTTGAAAGTGATGGGTCAGGTAAGATCCATTGATCTCATCGTTAGGGTGTTAGCGTCCAAATCTCGGTATTGTATTTTCACACCGTCAAAAGGAAAGACCATTTAAACCTTGCCAATAAGAGTTTCTTTATGATGCTTTCGGAAAATCGTGAAATATGTTTAGTTAGAGTAAACTTGTGCAACATACGAACAGAAACGCTCTAGACAGCCGAGTCAGCAGGGCAAACAGCTTAGAATAGAATTTCAAACCCTTTACTTCAACTTCTTCACAGAGACAGTTCCACTTTCGAAATCCTGCCATTTTCTCAAAAGGGAGCTGGTAATTCGCGGTTTGTGGCCAATATTCTTTCGATTTTCTTCGAGAAGTATCCATTTCGCTGCTGTTTTGTTGACTTTCTGTGCGGGTGTTATGTTAATGGCGGGAAAAGCTGCACGTGCTTTTGTCGGATCTTCCGATTTGCCCGGTTTTCTGTTTTACAATTGTTTTCGAACCATCTTGTATTAACTCATCGATTTTCTCTTCTCGCTACACAGGACAATACAGAAGTACATTTCAAAATCAAGAAAACCACACAACTTAAAAAACTGAAACAGGCCTACTGCGATCGCCAGGTATAATTGTGATTTGACATTTTCAGATATACGTCACCTGTTGTTGTGGTTTATTCCTGTAGTTGTTCTAAAACGAACAGGAGACAGGTAACAAGGATTTCTTACAAGTGATTTTAAGCAGAGATTTTATGCTTTCATTCACTTGAGAGAAATCCTTGTTAGCTGTGTGTACTGAAATTTGGACCGAGTTGATTTTTTGAAATGTTCTTTTCCTGATTTAAGTCAAGTGAAACTAAAAGTTCCTCCTTGCATTTAAATGTGTTATAAAGAAGAACCCTGTGTAATTTATTCTGTTTTAAAGACTTTATACTGTGATTTCGTCACTGCTACTCAACTTTCTATTGTCTGAAGAAACGCTTCAAACCATGTTCTTCCTTACAGGGTCCCTTTTAAACCAGACCTCGAGACTGACTTTGTAGCACACTGGACCTACTTGGCTAAAGGCCTGTCATATTTAACTGTGCAAAACAATTTTGAATCAACCATTAGTCAGGTTTTGATAGCAATTTATATTGGGCTCATTTGTTCAGTTTTCTTTTTTGGAGGGGGGGAGGTGGGTGGCATGCATTAATAAAACTCGCAAGATCTGGAATGGAAGCTATTGTCACGGTATTGAAAAGATTGTATTAAATTAAATTTAATAGTTGTCATTTGCATGTTAACAAGGTGATTCTGAGACAGTTTCACTTTGCAATGAAAATGCAACTTCATCCAATACCACTAAAGGAAACAGAATGACACCAACTATGTTGTTGCCATGGCAACACTCTTGGCTCCAGTCTCTTTCTAAGAGAAACCAAATATTCCTATTTGCAACCTTTTAAAGTGGGACAGAGGGTCTTGCTCGGAACACACATGGTTCCCATATTGTCTTAAGTCTCCCCATTAGATTGGTGGGAGTGGAAGATTCTTGTTTAAGATAAAATCTGGAAATTTTAGTCGTAATTAAAACAGAACCAGCGGCATAACTGTTGTCATGGCAATGGCATGACAGGTGTCATTGTGTTTCTTTTGTGATGCACATTTCTGGTGCCAAGTTTAAAGAACACTGCTTTAATATTTCTAGAGTTATTCTCGATTGAGTGTTGTGCTGTTTTAGTGGAACCACCTATGACATCA